AGATGTCATATATCCGATTGGGTAAAGTGTATGGAATTTATGTTGGATAAAAAAAAAGTGAAGCTTCATGAATTAATGGATGGTAAATATATTACAATAAACAGGAAAAGAGATAGCACTTTTTAGATAATATTAAAACATTTTAACATCTAAATTCAATTGTTAAAACTTTTTTAAAAAATCCCTCACTGACTCCATTTTATTATAATATTTTGATTGTAATACGTATTATAATTTTTATTGACAATATTTTATTTAACAGATGAATCTAATACGCCACTGCATTACGCGGCCAAATCAGGCTATAAAGAAGCAATTGATTTATTTCTCAACCGAGGCTGTTATATCGGTCATATGAACATGTTCAATACACCGCCTATTGCGTACATCTCAATGGACACGTTATCAAGCTATTTTGATAGGTGTATGCAGATGAAATCGGACGAACAAACGAAAGAGTCCAAAATTGAGTTCAATTATTGCTGTTTGAAGCCATACAACGATTCACAGATACAGGATTCGGATATTCGCAAGTTTCCTGAATTGGAGGTATTCAAGTATATCGCCGACAACAGCAATCTTAAACACTTGCTAAAGCACCCGCTGCTCTCATCTTTTCTTTACCTTAAATGGCGTAGTATAGGATACTTTTTAAGTTTAAATTTTTTGATTAACATTTCCTTTTATTTCCTGCTAAATTCTTACATTTATCGTATGGCAATAAATGACAGTTTTCCGAGACGAATTAATTTTGTTAATGATAATGGGAATTTTAGTGTAGGTTATTTTAGAAATTTGCCTTTTGACCCAAAGCTTCATAAAAATACAGTAAAGCTAGGTGATGACAGTAGGGGTATATATGCTATTATAGAAGACCCCGAATACACATGGTTAGTGTATTACATTCCTATATTTTTGATATTTTATATCTTGCGAGAATTTCTCCAACTCGTTTAGCTGTTTTTGGCTATACGTGAAGGATTGGAAGACGAACGGTTTCCGGATCTTACTAATCGCATTGACTATCGCCTTGCTACTTGACGCGGGATTTGAGATCGGTATCATAGTAACCCTATTATCCACCTGGGAATTCATGATCCTAATTAGCCGTAATTACCCATGGCCATCATATATCACTCAATATCACAACATTTCTATCATGATTTTCCAAACAATCTTCTGTAATTTTGTACGTTTACTCTTTCCGTTTGTATTCCTCATCGGCGCATTTGCTTTGATCTTCCATAAACTTTTCAAGGGCAGCGGGGATAACAACTTTTCCAATCCCGCCTTCTCGATGATCAAAACTATTATTATGCTTACCGGCGAGTTCGATATTCCATTCGCGAAGCACGACTCCGCGTGGAGCGGTGTTGTGCTCGTGATATTCGTTTTTCTCATGGTCATCGTATTCATGAGTATGCTAAATGGTTTGGCAATTAGCGACGCCACCGAGATTCTGAGCAAGGCCGAATTGCATGGTCTTATTCACCGGTTATATCAGGTTGCCTACTTCGAGAACATTGTCTGCACGATCGGCGAATTGCCTAAAAAATATTTCGGTAACCTCATTAGTGATATTTTTCTGTTTCCACAGCTAGAAGACTCGATCATCTTAGACCGAGTCAGCTGTAAGATTTATGATAGCAAGTTGAAATATTTGTTAAGCAAATTTTATTTGAAAATGGATTACAATATATTCAAACAAGTTAAGCAAATTATCCTTAATTTATCCAAAAATCAATTTTCGAATAATGATGGAATAACGAATGCGGAAATGGATTACGATATACTTAAACAAGCTAAGCAAATTATCCTCAATAAAAATCTACTTTTGGATAATGATAGAATAATGAATGCGTTAAGTAAGTTGCAGGATGCGATGGGAATCGAATAGGACTGAAAGTTTTACAATGAAGTCCAGAGTGAGTTTTATATTTTATTTTCCACAGATGTATTAATAAATATTGTAAAATGCTGTGACAATAATTATAATATTATTTGTAAAAGAGCAAATGCTTTTTTGTGTATATATAGTGTAAAAAGTTCATAGAACTTGGGAAAAACAGTCGAATTATACTGGATAAAAGTACATTGAACGGAAATTACTCTTTATACGCGTCTGTTTCTCTAAGTTCTATGAACTTTTTACATTATATATATATGGCATATTTACTTTTGGTATCGAACGTAGTACTGTATCTGATATTTACGTATCCGAAGTAACGGGAAGTATTAATGTTCAGAATGCATGCAAAAGAATGGCGTGCAACGTTACCGCATCTTGGCAATGTGTACAGAAGTCCACAAGTTTGTATTATATAGAGATACCTGTATAAAAGCAGTGTACTCGATTGCATTATAACAGTTAATAAGTCGCGATTCACAAAAGTAATGCGGCATCGTTATATGTTTGCATATTTTAAAGGAAACGACGCAAGAGAGATTGAATAAAGGGCTGCTGGAGCGTTTATAGCACAGAGTTATTTGCTTGCATTTAGCAACTTTTAATGACTCGTAACGCGGGCGATGCGATGCAAACGATAAAGAAACTTGTGAGATGCCAGCAACAAAGTGATTACTGCTCCAGCGCATTACGTTCGCTTATTAGGAAAACATTTTTTTTTATTGTAAATCTATTAATGTACTTCACGTATATTACAGTGTAAAGAAAAATGTAACTCAAAGCGTTTAATTTATATACATTGAGCAGCGTACTATTTTTGTCAAATTATCTTTTAACAAGATTTTGCAATTCAACTTCTATTCCTTTCGTGGGCGAAGATATTGAGAATCGTGCCATCGATCACAGCCTTTCAATTTTTAATATTTTCATAAATTAGAACTTATAACATTATATCGTAATTCTATTCAAAGTTTATTAAATTGTAAATATCACATTACCACGTATGTATTTTCTCTCCCGAGAAATTTCTTCTCCCTTTCAATTTTTAATCACTCAAAGAACTGAATGACGTATCTTGGTTCATTTCGATTCGGCTTTGAATCGGCTGAGAAAACTGCCGACGTGCAGTCAGGCCACGTGCGAATCGCTCAAGACCGCGCTACGTCACTTCGCGTCGAACTACTTCGCCGTTATCTAGCAGTGTGAACTTGCTGTCGTTCGAGCGTTACCGCCGGGGCGCGAGTATTATCGGCGTGTCACGCATATCTCAAGCGAAAATTGCGACGTGGAATCGTGGGACGAGCAACGCCGACGTCGCGCTGAGCTTTCACTTTCGGCGCGCCTATAGCGTACTATCGAGCTAGTTTTACGAGCTTCCGTGCTTCCACCCACCCGTAATGCGGTTTATCGCCCCCGCGAGAAACCTGCTCCTCCAAAGCTGGCTCGCCAATGGAGCCCTTGGTAACTTCGGGACCGCCTTTCGACGGTCCTCGCAATGCTGTGCGAACATCAGGAGAGAAAATGTGTTTAGGGGCTACGGGTTCTCGGATCGATAGATTAAAAAAAAAAACGCACCGAATTTTATAAGAATAGTCATGAAAGGATGAGTATAACATAATATAGTGTAACGAAATTTAGTTATCTCTTTATTTAGTTGCTTATTTTCTTTATACTTAATTTTGATGTATTTTATCTAATCAAAAATAGAAAATCTAATTCAAATATCAATTTAACAAAATAAATAGTAAAATTGACACTTCTTGTTTCGTCTCGCCATTCATTCAAAACACATAGAAAAGGAATTTCTGTTTATTTACGGTTCAGCGTTCAGGGACGGCGAATGATAACAGTAAATTATCCATCGCAAAGCAAGATGAAGCGATACACTGTCCAGCTCTGCCGGCTAGTTCCCGTGGATATCGTGGGTTGTATAGCGCTGCTGGATTTTCGGGGCGAGAGATAGTCGTTTGCTCAACGACGCATGAAATTCGAAGGTGGATCGGATTATCGGTGACACGCGCGTTCGCCGATGCTTCTTCCAGATACGGGACGCGTTGGTACGCCGCCGACGCTCGTCGACGCTCGGATGGCGCGGCGCGGGGCGGACGATTGTTCAACGAGAAGTGCGACGAGTTAATCCACTGGCTTAAGAGTTATTAACGCGTATACGCGAGGCGAATAGCACAGTGCCGAATTACGCCGTGCATTTTCGGGAGGAAATTATTTAGATTGCCGTCAAACATTCGGCGTCGGCACCAATTATCGCGTAGATCATTAGCTTACGCATATTAATCTTTGTTACCGAGCCGTATATGTGTATCTCGTCGCTGCGCTCCCGCGCGCATAGAGAACGCGCCGTAATAAATTTATGAACTGACGAAGGGATTACGACGGGCGCAGGTGGGGGAGGCGAATGTGAATTGTGCAAATAATTACGGCTCATCCGGATTTCAGTTATATTCCATGTCGCTGAGTGTGCCGCGATTATTTAATTTTAATTAGAGCCATACATATGTATATTGTTTGTACTTATATCTCTTTCTCGATATTGATTTAGAAAGGCATGTTAAGTTACACTGATACAAAACGAAGATAATGCTGAAGTGACGCTATCGAAATACAACAGAATTATGTATTATGTTATTTATCTTTTGCCTTACCGAAATTGTTACATTAAAAAAGAAAGGAAAGAAATACGTTAAATATCAAAATGTGGAAGCGGACAACCGAAAACATTGCACTATTTACCCCTAAGCGTGAATATCGCATCTCTTGTAACGAACGAATTGTTGCAAATAGCGTTATACCTATTATTCGCGCATCATATATGCCATACAAAACGTAATACAAAAAATTCTTTTTATATTACGAGACATATATGTATTATAGTATGTTATATTTCTTACATGAAATATTAAAATAACTAAATTAAAGTAGCACATTATTCGAATCAGCGTAATAAGAAAAACTTATGTGGGGTAAACGATAGTTAGTCATTCCATTATTTACTTCAAATTTGATTACAGAGAAATAAATATATAGAGTAAGTGTACGCATAAAGTAAAGTACATAATATATAGATATATATAGTTGAGGATGCGAGATATATAAAGTGCGCGAAATACGTAAAATACACATGGCACATATATTGCATATTAGAACATTTCCTGCGTGTGTGATCCCGTTATGTGTACGTGTTTACACGTGTATTCGTCGAATATTGAGGTATATGCATTGTTTAGAGATGCCTCGGTACGTAGCTGGTTATACAATAGTAATTACCTTTCATGCAAACTATGCGTTCCCCTACAATGCCTCGCGCGTAATCGATAGCCGCGCGCTGCAACAAGTAGACGTATACAAGCCAGCAAATGAGAGCGGCGACTTTCGTACCGATACCACTCGAGGATCGTTAACTGTACGGCCAATCTACCTCTGAAACATTAATAACCACGTGCCATTTCGATTGTTCCATTGTCACATTTGTCTGACTACACGTAGTTCTCCTCGCTGAGTAACGCGCTAATTAAAGATGAGATTAAATAATATTGATGATACTCGCAGTACCACGCTCGAACCTTTTACCAGTATTTAAAAATGTTGTACATTATGCAAATGTTATCGAATCCTTCTGTAATTGAATCCGATATGAGAGTAACATAATAATTCATCATAATGTATAATTAAAATTTTGTAAAATATATTTGAAACTTTTATGAGTATTTCGTGCCCACGGCACGAGAAATTATATCAATTTAGACAATTAATCGAGAAAAAAAAATTAATATCTATTTTGTTTCGCAAAACGAATATTATCGTATTTCTAGAGTTTATTTAGAATTGCGTGAAAAAAAGAAGAAAACGACTTACAAAAATCTCTAAAATACTTTCATCTGGAATAAAATAAAGCTAATTACAAGATGTCTGTTTCATAACTTTTAATTCGGTCTTAGCTAAGATAATAATATAATATCAACGTAAATCAAGGCGGTTTATCGCCTTTAAGTGCAATGTGCTTACGCGCAAAGCACACTGTGCTTGTTGGAACTTGTCGCTCAATAAATTGTAGATAAAGCTCGATGTGATGGCTGCAGAAGGAGAAGCGAATAAAAGTTTCGCTCGTGGCGCGAAACTTTCTGCATTCGCGCCGCTGCTGCGACTTCGTTCGTTTCAGGGTTTTATTTTATATCCTTTAACGCGCTATTGTTTGGCATCGCTGCCATTAGTTAACCGGTATTTATGCCCGGCCTCGGTAATATCGCGTTTCAAATATCCCCCACGAGCCCTTCGAAACGTTCCCCCGGAGCAATTAAAATACGCACGGTTGTCACCGGACGGGCGGTCCTCTCTTTTTACGGCTAAACCGCTCGCCCATTACCCACAATTCCGCCCAGAACGGTCGCCCATCCGAGCCCGTCGTTCGCCCGGCGTTAAGCCGCGTGCGAAAATGGCTTTTCTTCTCGCCAGTTCTCCCGACTTGCTAATTAAATAAAAGGGTCGACGGAGAGAAAGAGGAAGAGGCTACCTTACCCCCCTCATCCCCCCTATCAGCCGTGACCGCGCACACGGAAAGAACTCGAATAAGGAAGTATCTGCGAAGGTGACTTCCGCTTTCCTTCTTTGTTCTTCCATCCCTCTTCCTCGCCGTATTATTTAACCTTCTATCCGGCAAAAGTTCGCTCGCAATGATTTTTATTATTGCTGTCGAAAGTCCTCTTATCTTCCGTCAACGTTTATTTATTTCCGCGACTCTTTTCTCAACGCATTGTTTCTTAATGATTCTAGTAGACACTATATATAATATAATGGTAATCTATATTTAAAGCCCAGCAATATTCTACGACAATATTGCTGGGCTTTAAATATAGATTACCATTTTCAAGTTATCGTTGCTTTTACGACTCGAACCTTTCTATCCATCGATTTATATATGGGATAGTTGCAAAATATATATATATATATATATATATATATATATATATATATCATACTTTGCCCTCAGCAAATTTTTATATCGAAAAGTAACTCGAACGAAAAGATTTTTCACTTGAGAAATACCGAATATCGTTCGGGGATTTTAGAAGACATCGAGAAATAAAGTTTGCTCTCGAAAAAAAATTTTCTTTCTTCCAACAAATTTCAGATTCGCGTCTTTATCGCGAAGCTGATCGTGCGTTCAAACCGTATTCTGGATTGGAAATATGAATTAGGATACTCGCAAAAATTGATCGGGCAGAACCATGCGAGTCCCGGGATAACTTCTCGAAGATCGTCGAGATCCCTCCTACCCCTTTTTCTTCTTTTAATCGTCAATCGCGAATATTTCCACATTGCTGCGAGACAAGTCGAGGGGAAACGGCGTATATGACTACGCGCGCGGTGCATTTAATATTCATGATATCCCCGCTTGGTAAAGTGGACTTACTTAGAAGTAATATAAATGATAATTTGCGCCATTGTTCTTGCTTTACAGCTCAACTCGACTTGCAGCATTAACAATCATCAACGTCGAATGAGGAGCTCCGGCGCGCGCGAAGTTCGATTCTGAGCAACCGCGTTGTGCGCGCATCCGAGAAGAACGTAATACCTCGATGAAAATTCATATAAGGTGAAGCTAGTCACGGCGGCAAATAATATTCAGGAAAAGTGTCGCCGCACCGAGAGCGCGAGAGGAGGGAGGGGGGGAGGAGGAAGAAGTAATTTCTTGCCCGGGAAAATCTGAAGTTGCGGTGAGACTTTGCCATTGAAATACCTATGTTCTACTTAAAGCGAAGCACCCGACTGCGCGAAATGGCATAGTAAATACACATATTAACCGTTAAATTCGCGCTGTCGTTATTACTGTAAATTTCGTTTACGCTGACATAATTGTACACGTAAATTACACGCGTCGCGTTATACTCGTGCGTTACTTGTTCGTTGGTTTCATGCTCCTCTTATTTATCGCATATCGATTTATGTCGGGGAAATGTTTCGATAGAATTTTTATATCTGCGA